CCCCGCCCTATGTAAATTACCAGTAAGGGGTACCAGCATTGACATTCTCCAAATAACTGCAGATACAGCATGTTATATTGTACACTATACGGCCAAGAGTTTGTGGACAGCTGGTCATCACACCTATATGGTCTTGTTGGACTTCCCATTCGAAAAATAAAACCATGGTCATTCATATGGATTAACCTCACACTCCCACCCACTCTTCCTGGAAGGCTTTCCTCATGTTTTTTGGGTCTGCCTTTCAAACAAGGTCTGTTATTTTTGGCGAAGACCTGGATCACATTCGGCATTCCAATTCATCCCACAGGTATTCAGTAGGGTTGAGGTCAGGTATTAATGTTGGATGAGAAGACTTGGCTCACAATTGGTGTTCCAATACATCACAAAGGTCTTCTATAGGGTTGAGGACAGGTACTGATGTTGGGTAAGAAGACCTGGTTCTCATTTGGCATTCCAATTCACCCCAAAAGTATTCAGTAGGGTTGAGGTCAGGTAATAATGTTGCATGAGAAGACCTGGTTCACAGTTGGTGTTCCAATTCATCGCAAAGGTCTTCTGTAGGGTTGAGGTCAGGTATTGATGTTGGGTGAGAAGACCTGGCTCTCAGTTGATTTTCCAATTCATCGCAAAGGTCTTCTGTAGGGTTGAGGTCAGGTATTGATGTTGGGTAAGAAGACCTGGTTCTCATTCGGCATTCCAATTAATCACAAAGGTCTTCTGTAGGGTTGAGGACAGGTATTAATGTTGGATATGAAGACCTGGCTCTCAGTTGGTTTTCCAATTCATCACAAAGGTCTTCTGTAGGGTTGAGGTCAGGTATTGATGTTGGGTGAGAAGACCTGGTTCACTATCAGCATTTCAAGTCATCCCAGAGGTGTTTAGTAGGGTTGAGATCAGGGCTCTGTGCAAGACAATCCAGTTCCTTTACACATACAAACTGGTCACACCATGTCTTTATGGAGCTGGTTTTGTGCACAGGGGCACTGTCATGGTGGAACAGAAAAGGACCTTCCCCACACAGTTGACACAAAGTTAGGAGCACACAATTGTCTAAAATGTCTTTGTATATTGTAGCGTTAACATCACCCTTTACCGGACATCTGTATCCATCTATATTGTACATCTAAATCCATGGAGTACCCTTTACTGGAAACATCTGAACTCACTCATTTGGAGGGGGGTCCACATGCTTTTGGCCATATAGCATAAAGAAATGGTTTATGATATGAATGTATAATTCAGCGATTCTGGTGTTATGGGATTATATGGTAATAGTGACTTCTTCTTATACATATCTTTTACATTGTTCTGCAGCTTAAGGAAATGTGCCGCAGAGAACTTGATAAGGCAGAGTCTGAAATAAAGAAGAACAGCTCCATCATTGGAGATTACAAACAGGTATTGATATTCTGAGGTACTACTTATTATTTACAGTATATCTGTAGTGTAGCAGGTTGGGCATGAACACTCTGGTGCACTGACATTTCTCATGCAGAGCTACTATATAGATGTTATGAGCAAAATTGACAGTTGGTCCGGCATTTTGCAGCATACTTTTTTTACGTGTGGTATTCCTTTACCACGCCGTCTTACTAAATGAAAGTGGGACTCCAGCATACAGTGGAGAGGCTAAAGGTGCAGCTCTATTCAAGTCATAGAGAGGTAAAAAAAAAAGCCCCTAGGTAGGGGATTCTACCTCCCTAAACTTCTAAGCTGAATCTATCCTTTAACCCTTTTGCTGTGTGCAAAAAAAAAAAAAGTTTTGTTTTTTGCACACATTATAATCCAAATTTTAGGCCTGAAAATTACTTAGAGTCCCCAAAACCTTATATATATTCTGAAAGCAGAGACCCTGTAGAATAAAATGACATACGTCGGTGGCGGTGAAAGGGTTACTATATGTATAATTTTAAATAAACTGATCGATCTTGTTCCAAATATATGCATATATGAATACCTGGTGTGGGCAAAATACATTGCACTTTCAGGCTTGATGTGCAGTATTCTCCACATCTAATCGATCCAACTCTGTGACCTTTCTCTTTCTAATGAATGGGCATATTATCCAAATTATCATGGCTGCTTAGACTGATAGGCAGCCTATATGTGGGGTAAAAAGCTCTCAATGTTGATCAGTATCTGATCAGCAGTAATAACATATTGGCAGGCTAGGATAGTTGGTGCTTCTCTGTAATGAACAAATGTGATAATGAACACTATATGGCCACATGTTTGTAGACACCTGACCATCACACCTATGGTAGCTAGCTGGGCAACTCATTCTAAAACCATAGCCATTAATATGGAGTTGGCTCCTTATTTTGGTTTTACCATCCTTCACTCTTGTGCGAAGGCTTTCCTCATGTTGGAGTTCATCTGTGGTCACTTGCGCCCATCCAGGCAAAAAAAGCATTTGTGAGGTCACATGTTGATGTTGGATGAGAAGACCTGGCTTGCAATTGGCGTTCCAATTCATCCCAAAGGTGTCTAGTAGGGTTGAGGTCAGGGCTCTGTGCAAGTCACTCAAGTTCCTCCACACCAAACCTATCAAAACAATGGAGCTGTATGTATAGAGGGGACAGTTGCGTTCAGAAGGGATGAGGTCAGGTGTTTGTGCAGGACACTCACGTTCCTTCACACCAAACCATGTCTTCATGGAGCTGGCTTTGTACACAGGGGACAGTCATGTTCAGTAGGGTTGAGGTCAGGACTCTGTGCAGGAGACTCTCGTTCCTCCACACCAAACTCATCAAACCATGTCTCTATGGAGCAGGCTTTGTACACAGGGACCAGTCATGTTCAGTAGGGAGGAGGTCAGGGTTCAGTGCAGGAGACTCTCGTTCCTCCACACCAAACCCATCAAACCATGTCTCTATGGAGCTGGTTTTGAACACAAGGGCACGGTCATGCTGAAACTTAATAAGATCTTCACAAAACTGTTACCACGAGGTTGGAAGACCGCAACTGTCTAGAAGGTCTTTGTGTGCTGTAGCATTAACATTACCACTGGGAACAATTGAACTCAATAATTTGGAGGGGGGGTCCACATACTTTTAGTCATGCGGTGTGTTAAGTCATTATATGACCACTGTTTACTACTCACACATTCCGGAAGTGTATCTCTGTGCACTCTATACTGGATCTCTCACATCCGGCCATGTTTGTGTTTGATACATAAGGATATACACGGTACACAGAGATACGATTGCCGTTATTTTGCAGCAGTAGGGATGAAACGTTCAGCCGGTCACGAATTCGGTTAGTTTCTTCGCTGTCCGTTGCCAGAACTGTAAATAAACAAACAGGCGGCTTTGTCTGTTTCCTAAAACCAAACTCCGTGTTTATTTCTAGATCTGTTCCCAGCTGAGCGAGCGACTGGAAAAGCAACAGACGTCGAACAAAGCTGAAATTGAGAAAATCCGGGTAAGTTCTCGCCCTTCCCAAGCCGCAGCGCGTTACTGCGATCTTCAGATGCTTAGAGCAGAAATGTTCGGGGATCTGGAGGACGCACAGCGCAGCGGATCCTTTTATGAGATTTTGTTTTTATGATGGTCATTCACCGCATGCATGTAGAACTTTATTATGTCCACGACTCTTTTAAAGATCATGTTGTCTCTGTGCCAAAAGCGGTAAAACGTTCCAAAGAATGAAATCTGCTGCTTACTTCGTATTCCATTTTCATTTCTCAGTAGTAGATCATTAAACAAACCACCTCCCTCTGTCAAAGAAAAAGACTGTACAATGTTAAACGCATGTTTTTCCTCTTCTCACTGTGCTTAAGATATCAAAGACCCAAGATTACAGCATATACAACGTGTGACGGACCGCCTGGTACCCCGACTGGGTACCTCCGCCAAAGAGCGTCTCCTGCCCGCCAAACCCCACTCTCAGCCAGCAGATTCGCAGTAACCAGCCCCTAACCCCCAATCACGAGGCAAAACTCATGTTGAAGGTTCAACATAGAAAGAGCAACTCCTTTATTAAACAAAGGACATTCACTTTTGAGACACTGGGAGGGCTACAACCCCTCCCCTCCCTTCCCCCTCATGACAAACACAGATAACAGCTTACACAGGGAATCCAACATTTACATACACAGTCACAGTACAATGGGGTGAGCATCAGATAACAGGTGAGGGGGGGGGAAGCTATGCAACTTCTATACAACTGACTTAACTTAATTAAGTCTCCATTTTGAATAGACAAACCATGTGGCCAAGTCCTTGTCCTCCACCATTTTAAAACATACATTTCCCAGAGGGCAACAGTCACTGTCTGCATATAAAATGTACATTTAGCCCCAAAATCTCCTGTTCTCTTGCTGGGCCATAATCGGTGGGTAAGAGGCCAGTCTGCAGCCCCATCCAACTAGCACAGTGACGGTGCAGTCCGTCACACAACGTATAACAGCATGGTATAACAGCATATACAACGTAGATGATATCACCGTAACCAAACTGCAGATGTTGTTCTTTAGTGGAATATCTCAAGTTTTGTTAAAGTGGAACCATAAAAAACCCACGCATACACTCACCGGCCACTTTATTAGGTACACCTGGCTAGTACCGGGTTGGACCCCCTTTTGCCTTCAGAACTGCCTTAGTTCTTCGTGGCATAGATTCAACAAGGTGTTGGAAACATTCCTCAGAGAGTTTGGTCCATATTGACCTGATGGCGTCACGGGCCCAAAGTTACATACAGGTGAAACTCGAATAATTAAAATATCGTGCAAAAGTAATGGCAGTAAGTGCTGCAAAAGGGGCCCAAACCAAGTACTGAGTACATATGCATGCTTGTACTTTTCAGAGGTCCGATATTGTTCTATGTACAATCCTTGTTTTATTGATTGCATGTAATAATCTACTTTTTTGAGGTTGTGGATTTGGGGTTCTTGGGGTTTTCATGAGCTGTAAGCCATAATCATCACAATGATGACAAATCACGGCTTGAATTATCTTGCTTTGCATGTAATGAGTCTCTCTCATATATTAGTTTCACCTTTTAAGTTGCATTAGTGAAATAAATGAACTTTGCACGATATTCTAATTATTCGAGTTTCACCTGTAGTATTTGAGGTTAAATAAAGACATAAGTCCATCAAGCCCAACCTATTGCGTGTGTGCATTTATATTGCGTGTGTGCCAAGAAAATATCCCCCACACACCATTACGCCACCACCTCCACCAGCCTAAACCATTGATAGAAGGCAGGATGGATCCAGGCGTACATGTTTACACCAAATTCTGACCCCACCACCTGAGTGTCGCAGCTGAGACTCATCAGACCAGGCAACGTTTTTCCAATCTTCTGTTGTCAAATTTTGGTAAACCTGTGCAAATTGTAGCCTCCGTTTCCTGTTTTTGGCTGACAGGAGTGGCACCCGGTCTGGTCTTCTGCTGCTGTAGCCCATCTGCTTCAAGGTGCGACGTGTTGTGCGTTCAGAAATGCTCTTCTGCATACCTCGGATGTAACGAGGGGTTATTTGAGTTACTGTTGCCTTTCCATCATCTCGGACCAGTCTGCCCATTCTCCTCTGACCTCAACAAGGCATTTTCATCCACACAACTGCCGCTGGCTGGATATTTTCTCTCTTTCGGACCATTCTCTGTAAACCTCAGAGATGGTTGTGGGTGAAAATCCCAGCAGAGCAGCAGTTTCTGAAATACTCAGACCAGCCCGCCTGGCACCAACAACCTCGCCACGTTCAAAGTCACTTCAATCCCCTTTCTTCCCCATTCTGATGCTCGGTTTGAACTTCAGCAAGTCGTCTTCACCACATCTAGAAGCTTAAATGCGTTAAGTGGCTGCCATGCAATTGGCTGATTTAGTAATTTGTGTTACCAAGCAATTGAACCTAATAAAGTGGCCGGTGAGTGTATATGATGCAGTCTGTCACTAGCAGTAAAGAACACCATCAGAAATGGATGGTCTGCTTCCTAACCAGTTCCCCAGCTCCCTGCGGCCCAAACACAAAGATAGCAGCAAAAAAAAAAACAACTAATATAATGAGGAGGAAAAAGGTAAAAAATACTCCCGTCAGTCCTGGCTTCCCCAAGGCAAGGGGTGTCTTACCGCTGTCTCCTGGTATATCTGGGCTCTCAAAATTCCATAACCCATGCAAGCCAACTGCAGCAGTGAATTCTTGTGGGATTTCGAGTGGTCAGGAGGCAGCGGTGAAGGGGAAGCCACCACGTCACCCCACCTCCTGAAAGCCGGGACTAGGTTTATTATATTGCTCTTATTTCTTGAGAAGTCTGTATTAAAGTTTTATTTACAGCTTATATGTGGGGGAGGGGGGCAGGGGGTGCTGGCAGGGAATTTGCATTGAAGGGCTGCTTTCACACAGCATTTATTGTTTTTCTGAGTCTCCTTGTATCATAGTTGTATTACCTGTTGGTCCTGCCAGTAGGTCATGTGTTCTTTTCTACTTTTAAAGGAGAAATATTGGGAGAGTAAAATGTAATCTTACCAGTACTTAAAGCCAGCATATGGCACTGCGGGTGTCACATGGATCGGGAGCTGAGCGATCATGAACCTTCTCCCTACAGAGAGAGGTGGCTATCAGTCACCGCTCCCCGCAGGGATTCCCCCATTCCTCTCTGTTCTTCCAGCTCTCGTTGGACGGACAGACAGGGTAGGGGGCGGGCACAGCTGGCTCTGGCTTTAGAGAGGTAGAACCAGCTGTCAATGAGGCAGTGGGGTGGATCCCGACAATATTGTCCAGATCTTTCCCGGCTGCAGCACGGCTCCGTCAGTAGCCCCGCTAGATGCTGACTTTGAGTCACAGGAGGACATTAGTAAATATACTCTTTTGACCCAAAAGAGGACTAAAGCCAAACAAATGGCTTGGCTTTGGTTCTCCTTTAGCAGGGTGACAATGCCATTCTTCAGTGAAATGGTATAGTAGCATTGTCATCTGTGGACAGGGGCAGGGCCGGATTTCCCACAAGGCCAACCAAGGCCCGGCCTAGGAGCGGGTGGGTAGGGGGGCGCATTGAGGAACCTGGCCTTGGGGCAGCAGAGAGAGTAAATCCAGCTCTGGACAGCACTTCCGATCTGACTTTTGCGGTGTCAGCATGTTGGCAAAAATGAATGGATAGGTGGGTGAGTATTATCAGTGCGGATAACTGGTAATACTCACCCACCTATCCATTGCCGACACTCCACCACACAGCACCACCTTCCTAAAACCTTCCCTTTGAAGCCTCGACTAACTCACCCAGATGTGAGTATAACACCAAGAACTTCCTTGAATCTCAATACACTTCCCTGCTGATCTACGCTAGGTTGTTGGCGCTTTTCTGCCATCTTTTTTTGTTATCCTTCAACCTATATTATTCAGGATGTGTTATGTCTATTTTGTGTTTTGAATTCATTATTTCTCAGTCCACATAGATGAATACAACAATAAAGCCCAAACCTTAAAAGTTGGATCCCGGCTAACCATTTCTCTGTGTCTCTTACAACCCAGCAAAAGGTTGAAGGGTGCGAACGCTGCAGAGAATTCTTCAACACGGAGGGGAAGGTGAAGTTGGTCAGTGCTACGAAAGACAACTCCACTGAGGAGGACACAGATGAAGAGAAGGAGACCCTGAACAACCAACTACGGGAAATGGAACTAGAACTGGCTCAAACCAAACTTCAGCTGGTGGAAGCCGAGTGTAAAATACAGGTAAACTCTCGGTGAAAGACACGGATAGGCCTCAAATAACAGTCCACATTCCCCCATTGAAGCATCTAGTACAGCATATTGACATTGATGGGCATAAGACACGGATAGGCCTCAAATAACAGTCCACATTCCCCCATTGAAGCATCTAGTACAACATATTGACATTGATGGGCATAAGACACGGATAGGCCTCAAATAACAGTCCACATTCCCCCATTGAAGCATCTAGTACAGCATATTGACATTGATGGGCATAAGACACGGATAGGCCTCAAATAACAGTCCACATTCCCCCATTGAAGCATCTAGTACAGCATATTGACATTGATAGAGAGGTAGAACCAGCTGTCAATGAGGCAGTGGGGTGGATCCCGACAATATTGTCCAGATCTTTCCCGGCTGCAGCACGGCTCCGTCAGTAGCCCCGCTAGATGCTGACTTTGAGTCACAGGAGGACATTAGTAAATATACTCTTTTGACCCAAAAGAGGACTAAAGCCAAACAAATGGCTTGGCTTTGGTTCTCCTTTAGCAGGGTGACAATGCCATTCTTCAGTGAAATGGTATAGTAGCATTGTCATCTGTGGACAGGGGCAGGGCCGGATTTCCCACAAGGCCAACCAAGGCCCGGCCTAGGAGCGGGTGGGTAGGGGGGCGCATTGAGGAACCTGGCCTTGGGGCAGCAGAGAGAGTAAATCCAGCTCTGGACAGCACTTCCGATCTGACTTTTGCGGTGTCAGCATGTTGGCAAAAATGAATGGATAGGTGGGTGAGTATTATCAGTGCGGATAACTGGTAATACTCACCCACCTATCCATTGCCGACACTCCACCACACAGCACCACCTTCCTAAAACCTTCCCTTTGAAGCCTCGACTAACTCACCCAGATGTGAGTATAACACCAAGAACTTCCTTGAATCTCAATACACTTCCCTGCTGATCTACGCTAGGTTGTTGGCGCTTTTCTGCCATCTTTTTTTGTTATCCTTCAACCTATATTATTCAGGATGTGTTATGTCTATTTTGTGTTTTGAATTCATTATTTCTCAGTCCACATAGATGAATACAACAATAAAGCCCAAACCTTAAAAGTTGGATCCCGGCTAACCATTTCTCTGTGTCTCTTACAACCCAGCAAAAGGTTGAAGGGTGCGAACGCTGCAGAGAATTCTTCAACACGGAGGGGAAGGTGAAGTTGGTCAGTGCTACGAAAGACAACTCCACTGAGGAGGACACAGATGAAGAGAAGGAGACCCTGAACAACCAACTACGGGAAATGGAACTAGAACTGGCTCAAACCAAACTTCAGCTGGTGGAAGCCGAGTGTAAAATACAGGTAAACTCTCGGTGAAAGACACGGATAGGCCTCAAATAACAGTCCACATTCCCCCATTGAAGCATCTAGTACAGCATATTGACATTGATGGGCATAAGACACGGATAGGCCTCAAATAACAGTCCACATTCCCCCATTGAAGCATCTAGTACAGCATATTGACATTGCTAGGCATAAGACACGGATAGGCCTCAAATAACAGTCCACATTCCCCCATTGAAGCATCTAGTACAGCATATTGACATTGCTAGGCATAAGACACGGATAGGCCTCAAATAACAGTCCACATTCCCCCATTGAAGTATCTAGTACAGCATATTGACATTGATAGGCCTTGAATATTTGAAAAAAATATGTAATAGGGGGTCGGGTCCCCATATAGAGTAAAGCAAAGTGGTCAAAGCTCCCAAAATGTACAAATGCTTCAAAAATCTAATCAGAATAATTTCCAAGGGGTATTAAACCCAAATATTGTATGGAAAATAAGAAGATAACCCCCATAGGGATGTACTTCTTGGGAACCAGTCAAATGAACTTAGTAAACACATATAATAGTTTATTAAATAGTAATACAAACACACAAGTTAGAATGTTCTGCATGTGTCCTCCTAATTTGTCTATACCTTATTAGTAGGGATGCACCGATACTAGTATTGATATCGGTGCCGATACCGAGTATTTGGGTGAGTACTCGTACTCGGCCAAATGCTCCGATGCCTAGCACGAGTACTTCCGGTACCAGGAAGCCGGGCAGTGCCTCTTTACACGCTGCCAGGTTTCCTGATTGGCCGGGAAGCGGCCCCATGCTCTCTCTTCACTTGTGTAATGACGCGCTGCCCGGCTTCCTGTTTGGTCGGGAAGCTGGCCAATCAGGAAGCCGGGCAGCGTGTAATGACGCAGCGCCCGGCATTCTGATTGGCCGGGAAGCTGGCTCCATGCTCCTTCGTCATCTCATGACCAGGGAACATGGAGCTGGCCTCCCGGCCAATCGGAAAGCAGGGCGTCGCGTCATTACACAGCGCCCGACTTCCTGATTGGCCGGCCAGACGGCTCCGGCAGGGTACTGGAGGAAGGCCGCGTTCTGGCTGAAGAGGCCCCGGGGGTGACAGGCTGGACAAGGTGAGAGGGGACAGACTTTCTTGTTAATAGGGAAGCCGGGTGGCGAGTCTTTGCACGCTTCCCGGCTAATCAGGAAGCCAGGTTGCTAGTCATTACACGCCACCTGCTTGCTGAATGGGCCTTCCGGTACTCAGTAATTGGTATCGGCGATACTCGGTACCAAAATACCGGTATCAGTGCATCCCTAATTATTAGGACACAAATCAGTTACTGAAGGGTCCGGCCAGACCACATATGGAAAAGATCATGCATGATAAGAAGATAAACCAAATGCAACATGATGTTCCAGCTCTAGAAATAGTCATCTCAGAGCACTAATAGTGACGTCACACTTAGAGAAAGCAGAAAGGAGAAAAAAAAATCTAGAAAGAGTCCATATTCTGTGAAGTCCATAAGATAATCCACTGCAGATGGTAATGCCACATAGAAAGTATTCATATGAACAAGTCGCTATGAATGTATTCAAGCAAACAAAATACCAGTTCTTCTTTTAAGCCAGACATGAGGTAGCCAGGTGCGGTGCCATCAACGCTGCAAGATGTTACACTTTGGAGGGTACTCAATGTGGCTGAACAGCAAACAATCAATGTTCCAAGTTGGATCAGACTGTATGGTACATACCCTGTTTCCCCAAAAATAAGACCTACCCCAAAAATAAGACCTAGCTGTGACCATTCCCAGGGCCGGTGGTGGCATAAGGGGGAACTTGAAGAGCCGCAGGAGAGAATCAGCAGTGCCAACGAAGCCGGCGCTAGAGGAAGCGAGGCGGCACCGGAGGGAGCAGAGGCGCATAAGACGATGTTTCCTCTATAGTGCCGGCTCCTCTCACAGGCGGAGTGATACCAAATGCACTCCGCCTGTGAGTAATCCATAGTGAAAGCGCGCTTCGCTCATTCTGGCCAGCGATTGGTTACCAAATTGCTCTTGGAAAGGGAAGGTACCCCTGATTGACCTGATCACCCTATTCTTAACTTTGCCATTTTGGGTTATTCAGTTTGGATTTGCGTTGACTTTGGATTGTTGTACGTTAAAAAATAAGACCTACCCCGAAAATAAGACCTAATGTGTTTTTTTGAGTCAAAAAAATATAAGAGAGTGTCTTATTTTCGGGGAAACGCGGTATTAGGGATGCACCGATACCAAGTACAGTACAAAGTCCTGAATACATTACATGTACAGGCTCAATACAATACAGCCACTGACTGCTAGTCTCACCAGATTTGGAGTGAGAGTTGGTGGTGTCAGTACTGGCGCTGCTCACTGTTCTCCTTATTGGAGAGGAACCTGTATTGAAAGGATCTCCCTGCTTCTGCTTAATTCGTCCTATGGATCTGTGATCCCTCGACCTCTGCTTTTTGAATATTCCTGGCACTAGTCATCAGGTGGTGGGGCAGCTCTAAAATGGTGAAGCAAATCCTACATCTACCAAGATGGCCACCTCCACACACAGAGACACATTGCAGAACAAGGCATGGTGACTTTGTATTGATACCCTTTTATGTGTATTCTTCTCAGGATCTGGAGCACCATCTTGGCCTCGCCCTAAACGAAGTGCAAGCAGCAAAGAAGACCTGGTTCAACAGGACCATCAGCTCCATAAAAACAGTCACCGGAGTACAAGGGAAAGAGACCTCTTAACAGCCTGACTCTTGTAAAATAATTGTCTTTATGAAAACATGATACCTTCTGTTGCCTTCCTTGGCCAGATATTTTGGTTTGCCTACATGTAAGAGGACCAGGAGTGCAGCAGCATGACAGGATGGTAGTTGGTCGATTGCTTGTCAGTCACTTGTACGATTTAAGCACCTCTGGGCCCTTGCCAACATACCTACACAGTCCTTGTGAAACTAGGTAGGTGGAGATATGTACCCCTTGGCTGAGTGATCGGGGGTTTTGTTTTTTTGTTTTTTCGACCAGCCACGATTTGCTCGATACCATAGAGTTCCCATTTTACCCTTTATCAATGACCATTGTCAGGAAACGTTTTTGAATCAAGGATTTGTATCGCGATTCTGCTCGGATGAGAAATCAAGGGGGCGGAGCTCTGAGTATATGGCAGAGTCCCGGTGGGAAGACCAGTAGTTGGAAGTGGCCCGGTAATAATCATTTATTGTATTTTTTCACTCGATGGCTAGCTCCTTAAGTACCCGTCCCAACTTAGCGCTGCAGTTGATTTGTCGAATGCCGCCGTACGTGTTTTATTTGCATCACGGGGGTCGTAGCTTGAGTCATTGCCTGAAAACGCATCGACGAACTTTGTACCTAACCGACTCCTTTAGTGTGGGGTCGGGGGTCAATGCAAAAGCTAAAAGGTCTTCTTCAGGGAAGGCTGGATCCTTCTGCTAGTGAGATCAACAGATGGCATCCTTATAATAAGAGGTCCGTGGGCGACTTAGTCCGATAGTAAAGCCTAGAACGTTTAGAAGACAACAAAGTGAAGTTATGGAGCATGGGGGGTTCCCAGACCTATATACACTTGGAAAGAGTCATCATCACACGACAACGGGGCCTTTCTTAGCAGCCTCTTGTTTAGAGCAGTTGACTGTTACCTCTAGGCTGTGTCATAACGAGAGATCACGTAATACAGCCTCGTTGTCTTTTTCAGATCTATATTGGGGTGCACTTGGGTATTTTGCAGCCGCCAAGTACACCGTTACGCTGTGTGGGGGTATATCGCAGCACCAGTGGTGGAGCCAATCCATTGAGTCATTGAGAAACATTCAAATGTTCTGACACAACCTGCACTCCTCTTATCCCGCAGGCTCACCATAGCACTGAAAGGAGCTTTGTGCACTTCTCTCTGACTGTCGTCGTTTTCCAGCACCCGTCGCTTGTCTTTTCCGACATCGTGCGTTCTTATAAGCCTCACATGCCACATCTACTGTCGTAGCATTTTTTTTTTCATTTTATGAACTCCGTTAAATTCTATGGGCTCGTAGTCCCCCCAAAAAAACAAACAATGGGGCATAGTAACAATAGGGACACAGTGATAGCAGAATCAAAGGATCGTGTGCCTGCGGAGGTTGTAATATTTCCCAGGTCATTGCATAGCTCGTAGCAGTTCGTCACATTCATCTGGACTTGTTCTGTAATGTTGAAGACGTCTCGCGGCTCTTCCAACGCGCTTTGCTTAGTTCTAGTACGTTTCAGGGACGTACTCGGCATTTACGTCCAAATGGTTAACTTGGTCGCCTCAAGCCAGTCGCCATGGAATGTGTTGATTGTTCTAGAACATGATGGGAGGTGTGAGTTGTGAAACCAGTGGCGTCAAGTGGCGCCCACACACAGGTGACACCATTGAAGGGGTGGATTAAAGTAGTCACTCGCACTCCATGATATTAAAGTCAATGCTGTTTATTGACTGAGATAACACACGTGTCCTTAGCGACGTTTCGAGACCATGCGGTCCCGTCCTCAGGCAAACAGAGAGGCAAAATGGATAGATGTCACCAGCACACCAACAGTGTTGTAATCCAAAAAGGTCATTTATTGGAACGTCATGTCACCAACACTAGCGCTTTCGGGGGCCACGTAGGATCCTTTTCATCAGGCTCAATAAATATCGTTGATGATGTCCATTTAATCGGACCAGTCGTCACAGACAAAGCCAACGTTTCGGTGGCCACACAGGGACCCTTCATCAGGGCGACAAGGTTACATTGGTGATTTCTACTTTCCACTGTTGATTTTGCACGGCGCCATCCGTGGTTGTCACTGCTAGCGCCACTATTGCTGCTCGGGCCGGGAACAGAGGGACTCGCCGTCTCCTACAGCGTTGGTGACATGACGTTCCAATAAATGACCTTTCTGGACTACAACACTGTTGGTGTGCTGGTGACATCTAATCCATTCTGTATTAGGGAACAGACTCTTCTGAAGTGTCAGCTCCTCAGCACTTTCAGAGAAGTTTTAAGTCAATAAAAAATCTTTTATGGAAAGGAAAAATTGCTGCAAATGAGTAAAAATACTCCATATTTCCGTGCTACTGACTGCAAATTATTTTTTTTAGTTGGCAATGAGTTCTTTTGAAAGCGTAGGAAGACGTCTGAGTCCTGTCCCACAGACTTCGCCCACCGATGTTGGACCTTCCATTTGTCTGTGTGGCTATAAATGCCGGGAAATGTTCCCGATACTCATTAGAACTGAGGAAGCTACATGGATGAGTAGAGAAACGTTGTCAGCATTAGTGACGGGCTCGGGTGTGTTTGCAGCTCCACGTGCCGAGCCAGGCCAGGAAGCTGACAGCGCCAATCACAGGTGCTGAGACATTATCCCGGTCCGCAGCTGCAGAGATCGGGATATGTCTCAGTGCCTGTGATTGGCGCTGCCAGCTTCCTGGCGGGCTCGGCACGTGGAGCTGCGAACACGCCCGAGCCCATCACTAGTCAGCATTACAAAGCAAGTCCTGTTCAACACGACCAGCTGTTCCAAGCTTAATCAAGAGACCAGTTTTCTGCAGTCTCAGCCGAAAACGACGTTTATTAGTCAGAATTCGGCTTTTGGAACCGTAGAGTGGATAGTCTAGCACAGGGGTAGGCAACCAGAACACTCCAGCTGTGGTGAAACTGCAAATCCCGTGAGGCAATGCAAGACTCTGACAGCCACAAGCATGACCCCGGAGGCAGAGACATGACAGCTGGGAGTGCCGAGGTCCGCCCACCCCTGCTCTAGTGCAAGCTAACCCTTGAGCACTATTGGTTTACTAGGCATTATTGTCCTCTACACTGTGCTGCCAAGTAAAGCCTTCAAAGGGCTACGGCGCGTCCAATCACAGCTCACTGGATTTTGCAAATGGAGCAGCGGATTTCCTGAAACGCACGAAAGGTGACCAGCTGCAGAGAAAGTGCCGGAATCCAGAAGACGAAGGCTCGTTTATTTTTTTTCTATTTCCAGCCGCGTTCGAAATAACGGTTTGATTCCCGAACCGCCGCCATTCTTAGGGCTAGCCTACCGCTACCGCGCGCAGTGTGGGGGATCCGAACACAAAAACGCACGCGTCATTCCTTTATAAATTTTCCATTGTCGCCTAGAAGTCGGCTACAGAATGACAAGTTTTGCACCTTGTACCTTTTTTTTTTTTTTCTTTTTTTATCTTTTTCTTTTTAATTTATACTTGTTTGCGTCTTAGCGGCGTCTGTCGCATTCAGCGGCACAGTCGTACGAAGTGTATGCAGGTTACACTAAAAGGCACTGGTTTGTGTATATATATATAAAAGTTTTTGGTTTATTTTGTATATCTATTTTTTTTTTTTTCTTTAGTTTCCGTACTAAATCGCTGGCTACCGTAAAAGTTATAACCGAAACATCATACCAACGGCGAAAAAAAGGTTTTCCTTCACATTAACCCGCTACCATTGTCTTCTATCGTTTTAAAACAAACAGATTATACTGTTCTTACTTCAACAAAGTGTGCAAGTAGTGCTGGTGTAGGTACAGTGTGTATAACGAAAAAAACATTATATGAAATACTATTAAATTTAGAGAACTGAATTTTTATTCTGATTCATTGTTGGCGGTGCTGATCGCGTTGTCGCATTGTAACACCTACGCGGGAGAGTTTGGGTGATGGGAATGGGAACACTCGTATATCTGTTTGACATCAGGCGAGTTGGAAGAGCTTCTGAAGGACTCATTAAAGGAGAACTATGGGGTCAGGGCTTTTGCCCATAGTTCTCCTTAGGGTAACGGGAGGACACAAACTAGCGTCCTCCCGTCACCCTAGGCTCAGTATATAGGGAGCTACAGCTCGCGGTATACTGAAACGCCGGAGCGGATCCCGACATCGATGTCAAGATCCGCCCATCTGCGTGAGTGACAGCTGGCTCTGCCTATCTAGAGCTGTACCCGCCCCCTCCCCCGTCCGTTCCGCCGGTCAGCGCTGGAGGATCGGAGGGGGGAATCCAGCCCCTCCGTGACAGGATCGAGAGGTGAGAGAACGCCGGTATGTGTTCGCTCACCTCCCGATCTACTGAGCCGACCTGTGACAGTCTCATTGTCACAGGTCGGCTAGAACTATGAGGTGAGTGAAAAGCACCCCCCACCCCCCCTCATAGTTCTCCTTTAAACACCGGGGCTTATACAGTCATGGAACAACAGCAAAAAGTTTCCCGGCACACTCACCAGCCAGCATGCAAAAAAACCCATCTAACCGCTAAGGTTAAAAACAGAGGTTTGGATACACGTCTTCTGCAGAATATGTGAAAGCCGCACAGCCGCGCCAAGGCACCTCTATATAGTGCGGTCCTAACTCTAAACTATGGGAGTCTCCACCTTGGAGCACATGTGGCAAAAGATGGAATTGGGTGCAGGTTTGTCAGGAGGAAGCCCAACCTCCCTTAAAGGGTTTCCTTTAGACAATTTCATGCTCCCAACTTTGTGGGAGGAGTTTTGGGACGGCCCCTTCCTGTTCCAACATGACTGCGCACCAGTGCACAAAGCAAGGTCCATGAAGACATGGATGGGGGAGTTTGGGGGGGAGGAACGTGACTGGCCGCACAGAGTCCTGACCTCAACCCCATAGAACACCTTTGGGATGAATGAGAGCGGAGACTGCGAGCCCCTCCCCCAACATCAGTACCTGACCTCACAAATGGTCCAACATTCGCCTTCCCAGAAGAGGCGGAGCTGTTATAGCGGCAAAGGGCGGAGCCAACACAATACTGAACCCTACGGACTAAGACTGGGAGGCCATTAGAGTTCATGTGCGTGTAAAGGCGTCCCAATACTTTTGGCAATATAGTGTATATATATATATATAACTTTATTTGTTTTATCTCACTTCCAGTACCCCCCCCGGATAATTCTATAGCACAATCCGGTCATTTTAGAACGTGTCTTGCTGCT